CTTCATAACAATTGTATTTGAGACACCACTTTACTAAATAGTATACAAAAGACATAAAAAGCTTTGATGTTCATCTATTTTACTAGGTCATATATATAACATACTACAGAATCACAGGTTTCGCTACATATGTATTAACACCATTCCATAACAACATCATATTTGATATATAATCAAAATCTTCAATTTAATATAAATTTGGCATTTGATAGGTTAAACAATTCTCATTCATTAGAAAACAAAAACAAAAATTGACTATTTTTTTTAGTTATTTAAAATCCCCCCTCCCCCCCCCCCCAAACACTTGCTAATTTGAGTATACAAGAAAGGGCATATATCGCTCACCTGGGAATGTGTTTCAATTACTTGATATGAGGTTATGAAGATATAGCAATCTATGGTAGGTACTGCATGTACATATGAAATTTCAGAAAGATCTATCCAGTATTTCTGCAGAAATAGCAAGAATAAACTTCATATGACAAAATCCAAAATGGCGGCCTAGAGGCCATCTTTTTTAAATGAATACACCCAAATAATAACAGATACAATCCTGCATTCCCTATGGTAAAAGAAGGATTTCAAAGGTTATACCTCTATTTCCACTATTTGACCCCGCCCCCTCTGCCCTATGGGCCACACCCACCGTTTATACAAATTGACTGCCCTTGGCCTAAGGATCCTCCAGACCAAAATAGGATGAAATCCCTTAATCACTATGGTAGAAGAAGGATTTTAAAGTTTACATTTATTTCCCCTATTTCGACGTTCAACACGTTCAAAAATCTTCCCACTAGCCAAGTATCAATGCTATGCCATGTATATATTTTTTTTTTCGTTCCTGCGTAAACTGTAGATCAAAGGGACTTAGCTAACAGTGAACCACGTTGAACTATTAAAGATTTATAAACTGACCCAAGTATCATTGCTATACAATGTCTACTATCTGAGAAATTGACCTACACTTAAAATTGAACCAAATCGGGATGGACGTATGGACATATACATACCTACAGACGGACAAGGGTAAATCAATGTGTAAAGTTTTAGATATGTGCAAGCCATGCTCACATTATGCTTACTTGTTATTAAATTGCTTAACTTTAGGGCTTAAACAAGTAATTTGACACAGCTTGAATGATCTTAGCAGACTTTGTTCCTCTTACACTTACACATGTCTCAGATGATACAATTTTGAGTCCATCTTCACCATTTCTATTGTAGGCAAGTTCCAAGTTATGGAAAGACAAATGACTACCAGCAGCTTTCCTGGTCACACCTTTGCTCAAAATTTTCTTTTCTACAAGATCATTGTAAGATGAAATATTTTTCTTTATACACATAGAGTAAGCAAGGGAGGATAAAACATAATTACAATCAAAAGCAGCTTCAGAAAATGAGTGAACACAAACATTGCTTTCATCAACTAACAGCTGTAGAGATGTGACATACTCTAAGGCATCATGTGCATTGTAATCATTACCTGTTACAACTTAATATATACATTTTCTTGTGCATATGAAGACAATTTTTTTTTACAAATTCTGAAATAAAAAAAAATAAAAAAAATCCAATGCATTAAATAACAAAGGCCAATCAAAAACTTAAATGTTATGTCCAGCAAGGAAAACTTGTTTGAGAACAGGATATACTGGATGAGGTTACCACTTTGCCATGGTGATACATTCTGCTCCCTGAAATGGATATGCCTGTGATATCTGATGCACCGTTAGAAATAGGTTGTTTCTGAAAGACTAGATGCTCCATTTCTTGTCACCTGCTGCCATCTGTGTGATGTGAGAAGTCTGTGCTGAAAAAAATTGATAAACATTCAAGCTGAGTTTAAAATATGCCTGAGTTGGTGGTGATTATTTAGTCATTTGGTATATGTTATAACTAAACTGCTACTTTCAAATATAACATTATGTGAATGTGCATTTTAAGTTGGGAAAAACAAGTTTTCTGCAAAAAGAGGTAAAATAAATGATGAAAACTAGATGTGTCATTATGACACTGATGCCCCGCCCACAACAAACTTCTATGACAATGATGTTTTTGAAGTTAAAGGTCATCAACTCAAAGTTCTTATAGCAACAATCAAGTCAATATCTTGAAATTTTCTTTCATTTCATATTCCCATTCACTTACATAGTTTGAGTAAACACTATGATAAAAGTATAATTTTGCTAAATAAATACCTGCTTCATTTTGCCTTGCTAGCAGTGTCCATTTACTGACATGAGGGATATTCAGCTCCGAAAGAAGACTAATGACTTGCCTCTCGCCAATGCCGGCATGTATCATAGCTAGAAAATAGATATCATCTTTTCATTTTCAAATTCATTTTGTCATGTTTGTTATATAACTTTGTGATTAAATGTTTTAGTCATCTCCTTCATGGTAAAATATTTAACATAAAGTGACTTCCTGTGGTATAATTCCGATATTTACCCCTCAATGAATTAAATCTTAAATATTGTTTGTATCCCTTTCTAAAAAGTAAGTGTTTCATAGGTTGGGTTCACACATTTGAGTGAAATTTCTATTTTTTGGGTGCCCAACCAATTACTGGGATCAACATTATGTTTAACTTGGTGTCTAGTAAAAGTTGAAAGTTATATTAGATCAAGTGGCAGCCAAGGTCACAAATTTAGTATATCCAAGAAATATCTAAAATACAAAAGTCCAAATTACACTGTATAATTTATTAAGATTTACATTTGTGCTAAGAAATACCTGATGTGACCTTTGTGCAATTAGCATCCCAAATCCTGTTGTGTCTTTTACTTAATTGGTTATCAGTGACATTCATATTTTTTTTTTGATTTTGAACCTCAACTTAATTATAGCTGATAATCCATCCATAATTGATCATGGCTGTAGCATGGTGCAGGCCACAATTACTGCATGCTGACAATGCATCTGCCAACACTCCCAATTCTACCACATGTCAACCACCTCTCCATACATCTTCTCTGGTACTTAATGTCCCTTCCTCTACAACTAAACCTCCATCCAAAATGACAACTGGCTCACTAGTACTGTTGATGCTGTCATAATTGTGATCTAGTGCGTGCACTTCCTGTAGCTCTACTATCTCTTCATTTCATCGTGCGATTCTGTCACATCTTTAATACTTTCGTAGAATTTCTTTAATACCTCCTTTGCCTTTCCCTGTCTTTCCTTTGCCTTATTTGTTTTGAAATACGCCCTTTTCTTAACTTTACCCATTTTGACCGCTCAAGATTGTTGTCGTCTGTCAATTCGTCAACAATGGCGCCGAAAATGGGGTTGAGTACCTCGTAAAACACCTCAACTTGTTTGATATTTTTGTAGTTATTCATTTAACACATTTACTTATTAATTCCATTTTATTAGGCCTTATTGATAACGCCTGAGGAATAAAATGGTGATACTATCTTCATATGTTACCGAATGTTTACATCTTGACAAAATTGTAGTAAGAGTTACCTCCCGTAGACCGTGCCGATTTCAGACACCGCACTACATCCTTAATACTAACAGTTGTCGTGACGGCTGTTGTGGGCGATAGTATACATGGGTAACGCAGTTGTTAGAACAGTACTGTTACATTATATGTAGGTGCAGGTTATGATATAGCGTCCACATTGTAATGTGTTGACACGGTTTATGGGCGTTCTCGTCATATAGCTTTAACATATGAATATTTTTTAATAAATATTAACCAAATATGCCTACCGATTAATATTCAATCAGGAAGATTAGTTTTGCATTGACAGTCCTATCTTATGACTTGGATTCAGATAATGAATTAAGGTAAGGTAAACAGTAACGCGATCATTATACAAATTTATCTCATCATTACTTGCTGCAACGCGATCATTATACAAATTTATCTCATCATTACTTGCTTCAAAAAATGGCAAACTGTTACGTTCATCAGAGAAGGATATTAAAATGTTTTGAATGGGTTTTATTCTGTATTTAATGTTTATTAAGGCTCGATTTGTTCTATTGTTATAAGCAAGCTTTCTGGTAAGTTCCATTATGAGTTTCTACCTACCTTTACACGGCTTGTATAACGCAACAACAGTACTGCTGTTTAAAGCCCCATTTTTGTTTATTATAAGTAATAGGATATTAACTGAACACTTGTATGGATATATACATACTGTGAAATCAGATATTTCGAAGGGCAAACATTTCGTGGTTTTTCCGACACCTTTTCGTTGGTAAATGACGAGTACCTATTGAAATGGAAAATTTCTTTTCAATCAAACTTGTAACTACGTCATGGACCTCTGGGGTGAAGATTACTCACCAACAAAATTGAAAACTCAACTAAAATAAGTAATATCAAAATAATCCCATGTTTTATTGATGTCAACACCAGCCGTACGTACAGGCAAGTCAGTGGTGACTTCATGATCCTAGTCAAAGAGAGTTCTGATGTGTTTGAGGTTGTCTCTGTTGCTACTCCCAATCATCAGTAAATTTGCCTTATTGTAGCGGCCGCTGTAACCAAACTATACCTTATGTCCGAAACCCCCCCAAAAAAACACTATTTAGAGGAAAGAGGTAGATAGAAGCGATGATATCGGGACTACTGTACACATTATTACTGAAGACTTAAAGTTATCAGAAAGGGTTTTTAGATGGCCCTGACATAAATAGCTGTGCAAACTGATTGTAATGTTACAAAAGAGTGTGAGAACGCGTGTAAAAATCTAAACATATTTCTATCATATTTTTGTTACTTTTTTATAAAAACAAATAATTTGTATTCATTTGCATTAGCCACTCCTTAATCTTGATTTTGATTAACTAAACCTCTTTCCATTTTGTTGTATGCCGGTCTTCCCTTTTTATTTATTTTCTTTCGTTTGCGATCGGAGGCTTCCATATGATCACAACTCCGTATTTGTAGAAAGCCTCTTGGTTGGTGTTTGGGTTCTCGACATAATACCAAACATTCATAATGTTGTTGTATAATATTTTTTTATTTTTTTATTCTTTAGGTAGCCCAACAGCATCAACACCCACTACGACCACAGCAAGTTCCATTACAACAGGTAATAATAGTTTCTTACAGATTGTTGCTTTATGGGGAAGACAGGCTGCGTTATGGATTCGTTGCCCGTACCTGAGCCCGAATAGTTCTCACGTTTATACCCTGGTCTGGTACAGCCAACTATCTATGAAATCGGGATATTAAACAGTATTGTTACCTCCTTCCATAACATTATTTACACATTTATACCCTGGTACAACTCAAAATCTATCAAAGCGGGATTTTAAACTAAATGTATATTGTTTCTACCTTCCATGTAACTACCTACATTCCATTTCTACGAAAACATCAGTATAATGCCTTAGAAATAAAATAAAACAGCGAAATTTTATCTTTACAGATCTAACCGGATGATTGTAAAAAAACAATATTGTCTAACAATTCTGATGTACAGACGAAAAACTCCATCCCATATTTAATTATCATCTTAGTTTCTGTGGTTTTATTTATGTTTTCCTATTTTCTAGCTGTTGTAGTTGTTGTTATTGCAAGTAACACGTTTTAAGTATATTTCCAGTAAAAGAGCGATGTGAAATTTCCCTGTATACCACAATTGGTACCTTCTAGATAACAAAGTGCCTGAATACTTCTCACATGTAAACACCCCATGGCCCTGGTTCACGTTCAAGTAATCATACCTGAGTGATTTCCTTACTGCGGCTTTATCTTTATTTCTCCTCGACATTTGACATAATAATACGTCCTGAATATGTGTAAACGTAATTACATAGGTCCTCAACTCTCAAGTAGTACTCAGAATACAGGTGGAGGTGAGGAGACAACAGCCGTCAGTACTTCTGGATTAGAGTCAACCACACCGGCAACAGGGGGCAAGTATTTAACGTGTTATCAAATTAATATTTCTATTTACATGCCACGTAATTAGAAAATACACATTTGAGTTGGTAGTTTTGGTAAATTTATGATTTCTACCAATGTTGTAATTTGAATATGATTTGAAAATATTTTGTTACTTTTTTGCCATTATCCATTTTGCTTGTAATGAAACTTGTATATTACTGTTAAAAGCCCCCATTTTGTTGATCATTATTAGTAGGATATTTACTGAACACTTACAGGGATAAATATATACTGTGAAATCAGATATATCGTACGGCCGACGACATTTCGTGGTTTTACTGACACCTTGTCGTTGGAACATGACCTCGTTGATTACGCGAACCCATTAAAACTGAAATTTGCTTTAAAATCAAACGTGTAGCTACGTCATGGACCTCGGGGGTGCAGATTACCCACGAAATCAACAAAATTAAAAACACAACGAGAATAAGTAATATTAAAATAATCCCATGTTCTATTGATGTCAACACCAGCCGTATGTACAGGCAAGTCAGTGGTGACTTCATGATCCTGGTCAGAGAGAGTTCTGTTGTGTTTGAGGTTTTTCTGTTGCTACGCTTGCCATAAGTAAACGTGCCTTATTGAAGCGGCCGCCGTGACCCAACCTGGTCTTAAAATAATGAGGTTCTTAACAACGATATCTAAAATGTCAGAAAAAAGAGAGAAAAAACGCTAATTAGAATAAAGAGGTAGATAGAAGCGATGATGTAGGGACTACTGTATGCACTATTACTAACGACAACGTTATCAGAAAGGGTTTATAGATGGCCTTGACATAAATAGCTCTATAAACTGATTGTAATGTAACCAAAAAGAGTGTAAGAATACGTGTACAAATCTAAACATCATTCTATCATATGTTTGTTCCTTTTTTATAAGAACAAATAATTTATTTCCTTTCTTTGGCGATCGTAGACTTCCATATGATCACAACTCCCTATTTGTCAAAAGCCTCTTGATTGGTGTTTGGGTTCGTGACATTATACCAAACATTCATAATGTTGTTTAATAATTTTTATGTAATGTATAATATTTTTATCTATTTTTTATTTTTTAGGTAAAACATCAGCATCAACATCCACTACGACCACAGCAAGTTCCCCTACAACAGGTAATACTGACCTTAATAATAGTTTCTCACTGATTTTTAATAATATTGCTGTAAGGGGAAGACATGATGCGTTATGGAATCGTTGTCCGTACCTGAGCGATGAAAATGTTTTCTTCATACCAGAAGTGGTACAATTTTCGATAGTAGAGTTCCCGAATAGTTCTCACATTTATACCCTGGTCTGGTACAGCCAACAATCTATCAAATCGGTATATTAAACCGTATTGCTACCTCCTTCCATTCAACTATTTACACATCTCACATTTATAGCACTGTCTGGTATAATAAACCGTATTGTTACCTCCTTCCGTTTAACTAATGACACATCTCACATTTATACCCTGGTACAACTCATAATCTATCAAACCGGGATTTTAATCTACATGTATATTGTTGCTTCCTTCCATGTAACAATCGACATTCCATTTCAACGAAAACATCAGTATAATGTCTAAGAAATAACAAATCCAAAAAATTACGAGTTTTTTCTATATAGATCTAACCGGATGATTGTAAAAAACCCAATAACACATTTGATGTACAGACCAAAACTTTCATCCTATACTTAGATATCATCTTAGTTTTTGTTGTTTTATTTTTGTTTTCCTATTTTCTAGCTGTTGTAATTGTTGTTATTGTAAGTAATGCGTTTTTAAGATATTACCAGTAAAGGAGCGATGAAAAATGCCCCTTTATACCAGACGTGCTACCTTCTAGATAACAAAGTGCCTTGGTAATTATCACATCTATGCATTCCATGGTTCTGGTACATGCTCAAGTAATTATACTTAATTGATTTCCTGACTGCGGCTTTATTTTAATTTCTCCTCAACACTTGACATATTTTGATACGTACTGAATAATGTGTAAATATAATTACATAGGTCCTCAACTCACAAACAGTACTTCAGGATTAGAGACAACCACTACGGCACCAGGTAGTAAGTATCTGACGTTTTATCAAGTACGCATTTCTATTTACATGCCCAATAATCAAAAATAAACATTTGAGGTTGGATTAGTGGTTAATAAATGATTTCTACCAATATTGTAATTAAAGTTTAAAGAAATCCACGTTTTTATTGTGTCTGTCTATGATGTTCGAAGTTGTGCCAAGTTAACTGTAAACACTGTAACCTGCAAAATATGTTAAGATCGTTACATCATAATGCGTGATCATCCCATTTTTAAAATGATCTATTGTCATATAATTTTTGCCTTTTTTTGTTTTTTGTTTGTTCAAGTTGTTCTTTAAACATGTATACTGTTAAAATCATTCAGTAGGCAACTTGGATTGTATTATATGTTTACATACAGGTAAAAAACGATAAATTGATAAAACAACTTAAAGAAAAACAATCAGTCAGCGATGACGAACACACGTGCCACGATCCCCGGGAATATGCTTGATCAAGCACCAATAATACAATATTAATTAGAGATCCATGTAAGATGAGTAACCTCTTAATTTCGTTCTGGATGAAACTGTAGCACAAGTAGGCGAGTACACTTCCGTTGATCAATTAGCTGAGATGGTTAAAGGGACAGTACAACAGTTTGAAGTCAATGGTTCCATCTGTTATGGTTTTCTTTTCATAAATCTATAAAATTTTAGTCATGCCAGAAAGAAACCCGTTCTTTGAGCGCAGTTCTTGGCCGTAGTACGGGGAGCTTTCATATGAATGGATATTAGTATGCTGGTACAAATTGAGTTGTTGATACATATTGGATTGTTGATACACTTTGGGTTGTTGCTACATTTTAGGTTGTTTTTACAAATTGGGTTGTTGTAACACATTGGGTTGTTGTTACATATTGGGTTGTTGTTACACATTGGGTTGTTGTTACACATTAGGTTGTTGTCACACATTGGGTTGTTGTCACACATTGGGTTATTGTTACACATATGGTTGTTGTAACATTCGGTTATTGTTACACATGGGGTTGTTGTTACAAATTAGGTTGTTGTTACACTTTAGATTGTTGTTACACATTTGGTTGTTGTCACACATTAGGTTGTTGTTACACATTGGGTTGTTGTCACACAGAGGGTTGTTGTTACATATTAAGTCGTTGTTACACATTGGGTTGTTGTCACACATTGGGTTGTTGTTACATATTAGGTTGTTGTCACATATTAGGTTGTTGTTACACATTGGGTTGTTGTCACACATTGGGTTGTTGTTACACATTGGGTTGTTGTAACAAATTAGGTTGTTGTCACACATTGGGTTGTTGTTACACATCGGGTTGTTGTCATACATTGGGTTGTTTTTACATATTAGGTTCTTGTTACACATTGGGTTGTTGTCAAAAATTGGGTTGTTGTAACATTTTGGGTTGTTGTTACATATTGGGTTGTTGTTAAATATTAGGTTGTTGTCACACATTGGGTTGTTGTCACACATTTGGTTGTTGTCACACATTAGGTTATTGTTACACATTGGGTTGTTGTTACGCATGAGGTTGTTGTCACACATAGGGTTGTTGTCACACATTGGGTTGTTGTTACATATTGGGTTGTTGTTAAATATTAGGTTGTTGTCAAACATTGGGTTGTTGTCACACATTTGGTTGTTGTCACACATTAGGTTATTGTTACACATATGGTTGTTGTAACAAATTACGTTGTTGTCAAACATTGGGTTGTTGTTAAACATTGGGTTGTTGTCACACATTGGGTTGTTTTTACATTTTGTGTTGTTGTAACAAATTAGGTTGTTGTCACACATTGGGTTGTTTTTACATATTAGGTTGTTGTTACACATTGGGTTGTTGTCACACATTGGGTTGTTGTAACATATTAGGTTGTTGTTACACATTGAGTTGTTGTCACACATTGGGTTGTTGTCACAAATTGGGTTGTTGTCACACATTAGGTTGTTGTCACACATAGGGTTGTTGTCACACATTGGGTTGTTGTTACATTTTAGGTTGTTGTTACACATTGGGTTGTTGTCACACATTGGGTTGTTGTCACACATTGGGTTGTTGTTACATTTTAGGTTGTTGTTACACATTGGGTTGTTGTCACACATTAGGTTATTGTTACACATTGGGTTGTTGTTACGCATGAGGTTGTTGTCACACATAGGGTTGTTGTCACACATTGGGTTGTTGTTACATTTTAGGTTGTTGTTACACATTGGGTTGTTGTCACACATTAGGTTATTGTTACACATTGGGTTGTTGTTACGCATGAGGTTGTTGTCACACATAGGGTTGTTGTCACACATTGGGTTATTGTTACACATATGGTTTTTGTAACAAATTAAGTTGTTGTCAAACATTGGGTTGTTGTTAAACATTGGGTTGTTGTCACACATTGGGTTGTTGTTACATTTTGGGTTGTTGTCACACATTGGGTTGTTGTTACATATTTGGTTGGTGTCACACATTGGGTTGTTGTTACTTATTAGGTTGGTGTTACATATTTGGTTGTTGTCACACATTGGGTTGTTGTTACATATTGGGTTGTTGTTACACATATGGTTGTTGTTAAACATTAGGTTGTTGTCACACATTGGGTTGTTTTCACACATTGGGTTATTGTTACACATATGGTTGTTGTTACAAATTAGGTTGTTGTCACACATTGGGTTGTTGTTACACATTGGGTTGTTGTCATGCATTGGGTTGTTGTTACATATAAGGTTGTTGTTCCACATTGGGTTGTTGTCACAAATTGGGTTGTTGTTACATATTGGGTTGTTGTTACATATTAGGTTGTTGTCACACATTGGGTTGTTGTTACACATTGGGTTGTTGTCACACATTGGGTTGTTGTCACACATTGGGTTGTTGTTACACATTGGGTTGTTGTCACACATTGGGTTGTTGTTACATGCATTGGGTTGTTGTTACATATAAGGTTGTTGTTCCACATTGGGTTGTTGTCACACATTGGGTTGTTGTTACATGCATTGGGTTGTTGTTACATATAAGGTTGTTCTTCCACATTGGGTTGTTGTCACAAATTGGGTTGTTGTTGCATATTGGGTTGTTGTTACATATTAGGTTGTTGTCACACATTGGGTTGTTGTTACGCATGAGGTTGTTGTTACACATTAGGTTGTTGTCACACATAGGGTTGTTGTCACACATAGGGTTGTTGTCACACATTGGGTTATTGTTACACATTGGGTTGTTGTTACATTTTGGGTTGTTGTTACGCATGAGGTTGTTGTTACACATAGGGTTGTTGTCACACATTGGGTTATTGCTACACATATGGTTGTTGTAAGAAATTAGGTTGTTGTCACACATTGGGTTGTTGTTAAACATTGGGTTTGTTGTCACACATTGGGTTGTTGTTACATATTGGGTTGTTGTCACACATTTGGTTATTGTTACACTTTGGGTTGTTGTTACGCATGAGGTTGTTGTCACACATAGGGTTGTTGTCACACATTGGGTTATTGATACAGATATGGTTGTTGTCACACATTGGGTTGTTGTTACATATTAGGTTGTTGTTACATATTTGGTTGTTGTCACACATTGGGTTGTAGTTACATATTGGGTTGTTGTCACACACATGGTTGTTGTTAAACATTAGGTTGTTTTACAAATTAGGTTGTTGTCACACATTGGGTTATTGTTACACTTTGGGTTGTTGTTACGCATGAGGTTGTTGTCACACATTGGGTTGTTGTCACACATCGGGTTGTTCTCACACATTAGGTTATTGTTACCCATTGGGATGTTGTTACGCATGGGGTTGTTGTTACACATAGGGTTGTTGTCACACATTGGGTTATTGTTACACATTGGGTTGTTGTTACGCCTGCGGTTGTTGTCACACATAGGGTTGTTGTCACACATGGGGTTATTATGAGGTTGTTGTCACACATTGGGTTGTTCTCACACATTAGGTTATTGTGACCCATTGGGATGTTGTTACGCATGGGGTTGTTGTTACACATAGGGTTGTTGTCCCACATTGGGTTATTGTTACCCATATGGTTGTTGTAACAAATTAGGTTGTTGGCACACATTGGGTTGTTGTTACATTTTAGGTTGTTGCTACACATTGGGTTGTTTTCATAAATTGGGTTGTTGTTACATATTGGGTTGTTGTTAAATATTAGGTTGTTGTACAACATTGGGTTGTTGTCACAAATTAGGTTGTTGTCACACGTTGGGTTGTTGTCACACATTGGGGTGTTGTTACACATTGGGTTATTGTTACACACATGGTTGTTGTAACAAATTAGGTTGTTGTTACGCATGAGGTTTTTGTCACACATTGGGTTGTTGTTACCCATTGGGTTGTTGTCTCTCATTAGGTTATTGTTACACATTGGGTTGTTGTTACGCTTGAGGTTGTTGTTACACATAGGGTTGTTGTCCCACATTGGGTTATTGTTACCCATATGGTTGTTGTAACAAATTACGTTGTTGTCATACATTGGGTTGTTGTTAGATATAACGTTGTTGCTACACATTGGGTTGTTGTCACAAATTGGGTTGTTGTCACACATTGGACGCATGGGGTTGTTGTTACACATTGGGTTGTTTGTTAGGTTGTTGTTTCATATTTGGTTGTTGTCACACATTGGGTTGCTGTTACACATTGGGTTGTTGTCACAAATTAGGTTGTTGTCACACGTTGGGTTGTTGTCACACATTGGGTGTAACATTTTGGGTTGTTGTTACATATTGGGTTGTTGTTACATATTGGGTTGTAGTTACATATTGGGTTGTTGTTACATATTAGGTTGTTGTTACACATTGGGTTGTGTTATTGTTACACATATGGTTGTTGTAACAAATTAGGTTGTTGTTACGCATGAGGTTGTTGTCACACATTGGGTTGTTGTCACACATTGGGTTATTGTTACACATTGGGTTGTTGTTACGCATGAGGTTGTTGTCACACATTGGGTTGTTGTTACACATATGGTTGTTGTTACAAATTAGGTTTTTGTCACACATTGGGTTGTTGTTACACATATGGTTGTTGTTACAAATTAGGTTTTTGTCACACATTGGGTTGTTGTTACACATTTGGTTGTTGTCATGCATTGGGTTGTTGTTACATATAAGGCTGTTGTTCCACATTGGGTTGTTGTCACAAATTGGGTTGTTGTTACATATTGGGTTGTAGTTACATATTGGGTTGTTGTTACATATTAGGTTGTTGTCACACATTGGGGTGTTGTTACACATTGGGTTATTGTTACACATATGGTTGTTGTTACAAATTAGGTTGTTGTCACACATTTGGTTGTTGTTACACATTGGGTTGTTGTCATGCATTGGGTTGTTGTTACATATAAGGTTGTTGTTACACATTGGGTTGTTGTCATGCATTGGGTTGTTGTTACATATAAGGCTGTTGTTCCACATTGGGTTGTTGTCACAAATTGGGTTGTTGTTACATATTGGGTTGTAGCTACATATTGGGTTGTTGTTACATATTAGGTTGTTGTCACACATTGGGGTGTTGTTACACATTGGGTTATTGTTACACATATGGTTGTTGTAACAAATTACGTTGTTGTCAAACATTGGGTTGTTGTTACATATTAGGTTGTTGTCACACCTTGGGTTGTTGTTACACATTGAGTTATTGGTACACATATGGTTGTTGTAACAAATTAGGTTGTTGTTTCGCATGAGGTTGTTGTCACACATTGGGTTGTTTTCACACATTGGGTTATTGTTACACATATGGTTGTTGTAACAAATTACTGTCACACATTGGGTTGTTGTTACATATTGGGTTGTTGTTACACATTGGGTTGTTGTCACACATTAGGTTATTGTTACACATTGGGTTGTTGTTACGCTTGAGGTTGTTGTTACACATAGGGTTGTTGTCACCCATGGGGTTATTGTTACACATTGGGTTTGTTGTCACACGTTGGGTTGTTGTTACATATTGGGTTGTTGTCAGACATATTGTTGTTGTTAAACATTAGGTTGTTGTCACACATTGGGTTGTTGTTACACATTGAGTTATTGGTACACATATGGTTGTTGTAACAAATTAGGTTGTTGTCACCCATTGGGTTGTTGTTACACATTGGGTTATTGTTGCACATATGGTTGTTGTAACAAATTAGGTTGTTGTCACCCATTGGGTTGTTGTTACACATTGGGTTATTGTTACACATATGGTTGTTGTAACAAATTACTGTCACACATTGGGTTGTTGTTACATATTGGCTTGTTGTCACACATTGGGTTATTGTTACACATATGGTTGTTGTTACAAATTAGGTTGTTGCCACACATTGGGTTGTTGTTACACATTGGGTTATTGTTACACATATGGTTGTTGGTACAAATTAGGTTGTTGTCACACATTGGGTTGTAGTTACACATTGGGTTGTTGTCATACATTGGGTTGTTGTTACATATAAGGTTGTTGTTACACATTGGGTTGTTGTCACAAATTGGGTTGTTGTTACATATTGGGTTGTAGTTACATATTGGGTTGTTGTTACATATTAGGTTGTTGTCACACATTGGGTTGTTGTTACACATTGAGTTATTGTTACACATCTGGTTGTTGTAACAAATTAGGTTGTTGTCACACATTGGGTTGTTGTTACATATTAGGTTGTTGTTACATATTGGGTTGTTGTCACAAATTGAGTTGTTGTTACGCATGAGGTTGTTGTTACAAATTAGGTCGTTGTTGACACGCAACATACCACAACAATATTGAGATACGTTTTTCTTTCATCCTTCAATTAAAAATAACGCTGTATCATATGATATCATACACAATCGACAGCCAATGGAACATGGAATAAATGGGGATCGTGGACGTCCTGTGGAGCCACTTGTGGAACCGGATATCACACAAGATACAGAACCTGTCGTCGTTCATCGACGAGTGACCCGATCTGCCAGGGCGAATATGTGGAGACGACAGCATGTTCAGTGGCAACTTGTCCAGGTACTGTAATTGTCTAACCAACTTACGGCCTCTAACCAAGAGACATTGCAAAGTATTTGATTGAAAATTATTACATAATAAATTCATCCGTGTATTATTTAGATATAGTATTGGGCTGTTCTTTTCAGCAGACTCTTATCATTCCTTTGATTTTATTTGGTCAATAAGTAAATTGTATATAAGCCCCATGAAAGGGGAATAATCCTGGTCACAGAACAGGCCCCTGACGCCTTTTGAACGTAGTTAAGAACTGTTTTACATTCAAGCATTATTATTCCTATACAGTGTACGGAGTATGGACCACTTGGTTAGGCTGGGCAGTGTGTGACGTCACTTGTGGAGGAGGTACACAGTTAAGGACGAGAGTTTGTCAGAAGTCATCCTCCTCTTACCTTGACTGTGTTGGAAATTCGTCACAGTCTCAGACATGCAACACGTGGAGCTGTCCAGGTACGATCACTGATCCGAGGTAAACCTTACACATATTTAAGGGTTAGGAAATACTGATTGTGATAAAAAAAATGTGGAGAAATGGAAGGAAAAACTTGAGGATACCTTTTCTGGGAACAAATATTCGGAGTGTTGACGATATATGCATTATTTATCAATGTGAAGCTTGTTTTTTAAAAGACAGCAACAAGTCTAACATTGTCCATAACAAGGGAATAATACTGTACTACTGTCCAGCTAGTTTGTCCAGCGATGCACTAACATGCGACCGTGCACAAATGCAGTCACTGACCACGCTTATCGGCTGTAAACTCTGTTCGCCATTAGGATATTATTCCCTCTCGTATTAATCGGCTGTTACATAAATATCAGGTGTTAATAGATCACAGAAAAGAACTGATTTTTTGTGTTTTACCTTCCCTTTTAGATTGTTCTCAGACTTGTTCCACTGGTGTCCGCAACGCCGATTGTACAGCATGTGAATGTTTGTCTAACACTGTGCATGGAATTGTACGTAACCATGTCAACGTTCCCTTAAACGAGGCTTCAATCGCACACGCTAGCGTTCCATACAAAACGTTAGCAACAACCAATGAAACTGGTGGCTTTGTGTTAGACACGACATGTGAGGCTATAGAAATTGTCGTCACCAGGGCTGGCTACGCTGACGTCACTGTTGTAGTAACAGGCACTACCGTCACTGTACAGATGTCTCTCACAGGTAGACATCTTTTTCGTGTTAAATAATTAATGTGTAATAGTTGTTTAGTCCAGATTATCAAGTATAGTAAGACAGCATGGACTAGGTCTGGTAAAAGTAAATGATGGCTAGAAAAAACATGTTTGCAATTGTTCCTAACTATTGTACTAAATATTTGATCGGTGAATATATTGTGGTATTAAAAAGTTATTAATTGAAGTTGTAAATATATCATGTAGAAAGGTATAGAGAGACATTAGTTTTCAAACATTATATAACTTGTAGAGTACCCTGTCATCAGTATGAATCCAAAGTCCCGAGTCCGTCTCAAGGGAGAAAATGTCACGTTTTGTTGTGAAGCGTACGGAAATCCTGCTATCACCAGTTATGAATGGTATGTGGTCATATTACTCACCAATTGTACTAAATAAGATACAATGCAACGAAATGTTATAGACTTTATAACCATCAACCATAAACCCTATAGTCCAACACTACAACTAGTCACACTGTACAACTAGTCAAACTCTACACATTGTCCGATAATCCATTCGCCACCGACCCGATAATCAGTCCCACTTTACAACCAGTGGCTCATAGAATGTACTAGCTTTTCACCAGACATATCACAATTCGCTGTAAATGAATTATTAGGGCTTGCTGAACATAATCGTTATGCTTTATTAAAATTCTTACCAAACGAAAAAGGTGTTATTGGTTCAAGTCTGTTCTAAAAGCCTGGTTTGTTTTTGGAAAATTCTGCAAAAACGTATCATTGCTTTAGTTTCATATTTTTGAAACAAGAATTTCCAAAAACTATCAATGTTTAATTATATTGTTTAATGAGTATATAATCCTAATTTTATCTTAGGATGAAGGACGGTGTTTTGATTGACGATACAAAGTACCCGGATGGATACAATCTGACACTGAATGACGTCACTATAACCGACAGTGGCGAGTACAAGTGTCGCGCTAACAGCCCCGTGGGAGCTGTGTATTCAGCGTCAGCCCTGCTGACCGTGAAATGTAAGTCAAACTTTCACGTACTTTACAGTGATAGTGACTAGATCAATTACTGTATACTCACTTTTTATTACTATGTTTAGTATAATTGTTTACATGTATTCGCTTTTATAAAAACAGCGCTCTAATCACGGAGGCCGAAACAGGAAAAAATTAAACTGCAGCGAAAATTTCCCGGTTTACTTTAATGTATACTTTTCAACTTACCTTATTTGACAAGCAATATATATTTATAGTTAACATACATCATCAACAAAAAACGCATACAATAATTTCACAATGCATCTGATCGTTTTATAAGTTCATGTCATGTACCATATTTGTTTATTTGTAAAAAATGATATGAGAGTATGCAAGAGAGAAAAAGGGAGGAAGGCGCTAGATTTTTGTTCCGTTTATTGTAATGTTTTAGGAAAATCTGGGATTCAGAATAAGAAAAACTAAACAAAATAGCTCCTACATATCGTAGAGATGTAACGTATTATCAATATGCCAAAATATAGAGATGTCATGGGTGACAGCATATTGCACTACCCAAAAGGGATTGCGTTATGCATCCGACCCTGAAAACTAATTAGAGGACTTAGTTAAGGATATCAAGATAAAATAGTTTTACCTACACCATTGGTGTTCTTATTTTACAGCGACACAAGCCGAGTTTTGCGAGGATGCATATGAAGAGAGAAAAATAAGTCTTCCATCCGACTGTGTTCAGCCTGACAATACAACTCTGTATGAAGTTGGAGGATGCGCCAGGAAGACATGTCGCAGTTCCAACAATGAAGATGGATTATGTGGTCCTAGCAAGAAGTTCTGCTGCACACCTTCTGCAGACGAAGAACGGACGATCCAGTGCAGTGACTATACCCTGGAGGTGATCGTTGTAACTGGATGCTCCTGTGGCGAATGTTCGTCTGCTGATATCAAAGTACAAGGCCAGGTCAATGGACTCAATACTGGTGACGCGTTACGTCTCGGTACAGTATACGTGAATGGGTCATCTGTAGCGAGGACTACATTTACTGGTGTGTTTTCATTCACTCTACCCGCCGGTACCTTAAGCGTAGCGCTAACGATAGAATACACTGTCTTCAAAACCTTATTGACAACCACAAGAGTTCTTACATTTGGTGAAACAATGGAAGGTTCAGTGTAACAAAAAAAATTACGCTGATGGAAGCAACGCCTCGCATTAACATTTCATCATATGTCGAAAACACAGTTTCGATGGGAAACATTAGTGGTATGCCGGCCCTAGCAGAGATGACAATATCTAAAAACTCCTACGTGGACGCGTCCGGCAACCCTTACAACGGAGTGGTAAAGGCTAGTGTGAACATATTTGACCCAAGAAACCTAAGTAGTATATCAGCTGCGCCCGGAACGTTTGAATTCACTGATGCAGAGGGTGACACACAGGATCTTCAGACCTTTGGTGTTGTTGTCATAGATTTAGAAGATGAATATGAAAACAAATTGAACGTTGTCGGAAACGTGACCATCACACTTGACGCTACCCTTGTTGAAAGTACGTATTCCGGAAATGTTACTGATGCTAAGCTTTGGGGACTCAACAAAGTGACTGGACAATGGGAAGAGGTAGGATCTATGGTCGTAGAGACATCAAAACGACGCAAGAGGCAAACTGATGGAAGAACCTATATCGTGGGACAGGTTTCCATAAGTGCATTCGAGGCTATCAACCTAGACTGCTATAGCGGATTCAGCAGATGCTACTTTAAAACATCGGTAACAGACACAAATAATGACCCAGTTAATGGCTACACTGTTCGAGTCATACATATGACGAATCCCGGGGAAAAGTATAATAGTACGTCAGAGTATGTTACGGCGGTCAAGGACATTTCTAGTAGCAGTGGGTATGACATGTTCACATTTTGTCGTTATGATGCTTGGGGATATGTCAAAGCGTACAGAATAGACGAGGAATATGAACCTGGACGTTCAGGTTTAAGTGGCCTATCATCGAAAGAGCGTTCCCGTCTGAATTATGAAACGACGACCAGTCCAATCAGCTTCAAATCGAAGTTCGTCTCATCTTATGATGGTCCTTGGTATACTAGTTGGTTTGCAGCTGCGTCTTCTTCCGCGACACAGTTTCGATTTTTCCAAAGTCGTTCAATTAATACAATCCAAAAATACACACTTATTGATACTGATCCATATGAAGGCATCACGAGACCAAACGAAATTGGACCGAAGTTATGGTATCCGTGTAAAAAACCGGCGAAATTTTCCAACTTTAAAATTTGTATGATAAAAATAGCTGTGCATGGACAAACATCAGGTCTTTCCTTCTCGGTTAAAAGTAAAGCTGGCCCAAAGAGTGGAATAGAGGACACAATCCTGGGAATTCGTACTGTCGCCGTAGAGAATGGTGGAGCTTGTATTGAATATAAATGCAGCGGCAATTTTCCTTTATATAAAAACGGATCATCTCCTTATGACCTTGGGGTGGAAAGCGATTATACAAAGATTGTTATAACACCCGTCGGTCGGTTTTGTACTGTGTCATGGGAAGGCGATATAAAATCAGAATCTCTCAACTCCGGATCAAGCAACATAGGAAGTGTTTCTCATGAATGGTTTATTCCGAACACAGAGGACCATGGCGTCTATTTTCAAGAAACAGAATTATATGACAAAGAAAAATTCGAACAACTACGGAAGGAAAACCTGGACATGTGTAAGGAAGGCGTCAAAGAGCCATCAAGTACAGCAAGTCCGAGTATGAACAAAGATAACCCGGCAGTCAAGTTTTCTTGTATATAACATATTCCGAAATAATGAATTCCGTTTATCATTTCTACTCGACGTGGAAATAATGAAAAGAAGCTACGAACAAATGTGAATCCTATGTAAAAACAAAACTGACAAGATTCTAAAGTGCTATGTGGGGTTAAATGCTCCATTTCGCATAGACTGGTCAATATGCAAACCTTCTGGATGTTATAAATTGCATGATAATAAACTTGAACAATAATTACATGTAGTTACCGGAGTCCACTATATATCGAAAAGTAGACAGGAATGATATCATAGAGCGTCTTCGTTCTATCAGATGAGTTTTGCTGTAAAAGTGCCGAAGCCCGATCTGAAATTCTAAAGACGTTATAGACTTATAAACGCAGGATTGTGTTTTAATGTAAAAATAGAAAAAAATGTATATATGCGTGTCGTTTTTTTCATAGAGATTATGATTTTAACAGGAATAACAAATAACAAATCATATATGGTTTTGTAAAGATATATGAAAAAATATGTTTATGATGTATATACTTTTTAGCGCAAAATTGACATATAATTGAAATATGAATTACTTTAGAGCAATGGATATATTGCATATTGATTTTCAATAGCCTTTCCCATTTTATTTTAGACATAAAACTCTTATCTGTTTAGGGTAGCTTCGAAAACATTTTAATATCTGATAAGATTTCGTCTTATTATCTTCATCAAAGAACCTTATTATAGACATCGGAACTCGACACAATTTAAAATAGTAATTAAGTTTTCTTTGTTGTTGCTGTATAAAATATTGTTCTGACTTGTTTTGTTCTATTTTTCTTAGAGAGAGAGCCGAACGGAAGACAATGTAAAAATCAAATTTTGACCAAAACAAAAAGTCCACTTTTACCATCTCCTTTCTTGTTGCTTAAATTGAATAAAGATGATATATAAGACGTTCTTTTGGTTCGTTTTGTGTTTGGATTGATGAACTGAACGAGAGACAGACGGGCAAATGGAAAGACAGAACGTAATAATCAAATTTAGTTTCACAACAAAAAATGTGTTCTTTCTGTACCTATAAGTGTTCAAATTAATTGAACAATAGTACGGTTAACTTCGGTATATGATTATGATAAATTGATCCCGGTTCGTTTCACCATGCTTTACAATACAATGCTACACAATACCAAAGTTAACCGTACTATCAGTCTATTAAGTTGAAAACTTATAGATAAAGAAAGATTATTATGCTTTATATTTGTATGCTACTTACAATCAATTGTAATTCGTCTGCTGAGTTATTGTCATCTATATAAAAACCTTGTGAACTTCAAGATATGCATTACGTTCATTCTCACTTATCATGCGCCAGTACATATACAGTAAAAGAGGTAAATTAACTTTGACATTGCGAACCTCTTGTTTGCTTTTCTCATATACATGTGTAGGATAATAAACCGAAAGGGTTCTGTTTACTATTCGCTAGTTTTGAAAACAGAAGCGTCCATTCCCAACAAGTCAATGTCAGTAAAACAGATACGTGATCCAATACTTCTTCAAATCATAATGGTTTTTTTTTTTCCAAATTTACCATAATTGCGAATCCAAGATAGACTTTTTCATAAGAACAGACATTTCTGCAACAAATGCCGACTCGTTTTTCTGATCGTATATGAAAAAAGGCATTTGGTCTCGGAAATCATTCAAAACCAATGTATTCAAAAACAATTTTTATTTCATGCTTTGAACTTCAAACTTTTGAACACTTTTCATGAAGTTTTAGAAAAGTCCTTTTTTATATACTTATGTAAATCTACAGTAAAAAACACAGCAACGATACTACCTCGCCTATTTCTATTTTAAGTTGAGTATCATATTGTAACGTATATGTAAACCTGCGAGCCAGAAATACAAATCAAATTTTACAGTATTTTCAATCGAAATAGTATGCATTTTGGTTCTCATTTTGATTTAACTACCATTTATTTGATCTATATTTGAGAAGAAAACACTCATTATGGTATGTTGCATTAAAACAAGGATAAAAATTGTTCTTGTAATGTTTCTGTTCACACAATTTGAACTAGTAATATCAAACCAAACTTTTATATTGAAAACAACTTCACAAAATATTCAGACGTAATTTAACATCAAGGCGGCTTTAACTTATAATGCAAAAGGTGTGTCCGCTACCGTACATATCCCTCTTTTTCAATCGTTACAACCATTCAAAACTTAAACAGATACGTTACCATTCCAACAGATACGTTACCATTCCAACAGATACGTTACACATTGTATTTGTCAAGTGTTACACTCATGCTACATTTTCACTAAAACAAACTTTAAATCGATGTAATTGTGGAGTTTTTAACAAGTGATTATTATTAGTGTTAATATTTCATTAATTAGGATGGATGTTATTTGTTTTTCTCAACTTAAAGGTAAGTCAGTTTAGAAGGTCAGTTTGGTGGTTTCCTGTGTGTTTAAAGCTCAGAGATAAGGGTCCAGTAGCTGTGTAGATATTAATAGGGTCAAAGGTCATGAGCCCCCCTGGTGTGGTATCTTCAGACATCAGAAGAGTTAGTTATAAATAGGTATGTGGTCAGTCTGAGGGGGTGAGATATAAATAGGTTTGTGGTCATTTTGTAGAGACTGGTGTATTAATAGGTATGAGGTCATTACTGGGGTAAATGGGAAGGGCCTGCATATTAAATGAGTTGGTCAGTTGCTGGTATTAATAGATTTTCTAGCTATACATCTAGATCTATTATTAAACATGATCCCTGTATTTAGTACTAGGTGGTTTCCATAGTTTGTATAAAGATGTAGCTCTATTTTTAGTTTATCTTGTCTCTAGTTATATATAGTATATGGTGTCAGTATCTTAAAATAGTTGTTCCTATATAAAGGGTTGTTAGGGAGTTTGGAAAGGGTGGGGAGAGATCAAGAGTGGGGAGATCAAGAGTTGGTCGGAGGAATTAAGAGGTTGTCGAGAAATGAGGATTTGTTGTTGAGTATGGAGTTTTTGAGTAGATTGAGAGGAGAAAGGGAAGCCTGGGGATAATTCTATGGAGAGGATTAGTGATGACTCGGAGAGTATTCGGTAGACTTGTTAGGAATCCAGTGGAGTACTTTGTGGTGTATAGAGTATTAGATAGTTGAGTTAGTTGAATTAGTGTAAACTTTAGTTGTTATTTCGATACATTACTTTTGAGTGACATTTCTCGACTTATAGTAAGTTGGTCTTAACCATAACTAAAATTTCCTACTGGAGTACATTTGGGTAACTTCATTCACTTGAACTTTTGGCAAATACATTGATTACATTCCTGCTAATAAAACTTTAGTTAAACTTATCTTATCTTTAGCATTTGTCAGAACGACTGGACTTTCATTTAACATAGAGAAATTAACAATTACATTAATAGCGAGATGGTGTCAGAAATGGAACCGTAACAAATTGGTATAAAATGCACCTATCTCAAATGTTCACATAACCAAGTCGATTTTATCTTGGAAAATAATGCACCAGAACAGAAACGTAACCAAAGTGAATATATACGTTACATGTTTTCCAAGTGATGTGATCCCTTATCCCACCCTTTTCTTTCATAGCTTTTCACTAACTAATCTTTTAAAATCCATTTACAGTAGGTAAATTTATTTGAACATCTACAATTTAACCATTACTATATTGACGGTTGATGCAAGTACAGTTTGTAAAAGGTCTAATTACATTGTTTCAGTCAAAATCTCACGAAACACAACAAGAATATAGAGTATCTTTGTTAGAAGCTACGATCATAGAACCATGTACAACTTATCTGTTCATAACGTATATGGTCTGCAATAACTGTTTACGTCAACAAAATTAAATGAATTCGTTATTCGCTTTAAATTTACACATTGAACAACAATGTTATACTTAAGTTTTTATCGTGTAAGCTATAAAAAAAGTTCCCACGTCAATGAGTAACACGAGGATCTAAGGTTGGCAGGCTTCTTAAGTCGTCATGTTAAATTCTCGCGAGATTTCTTTACCTTTTCGTGTTCTGAAAGTTCGGGAGTGGGGAAATTTGAATGAGGTAAGTTTTCATCTTTGATATGAACATTACCTGTTTGCTGTCATATTGACTGTGTTCATTCAAAAACAAGCTTTATAAAGTACACACAGAAAGTGCTGACGTCACTGTTTGGGCGACAGGAGTTGTAAAATAGACACGAGTTGGGCGAACCAATATCACACACAGGCCGCCATTTCTGAAACGTTCGCCACCTGTTTGACCTATAGAAGAATGTTTCATCTATGGATAAGAGTAGTCTTTCTTACTTCATTACACGCATATATCAAATTACAGCTATGTTTTCAGGACTGACGAAATTAGGTGCTCCGGTGACGACATAAGGTAACAGCATTTAACGTCGAAAGTTGCGCAAAAATATGACTGCCTTGATCACAATTTATTGAAAACTGATGACATTTAACATCTGACATTAATTCAACAACTTTAAAAACAACATTTATTAAGCAGCCAATTAACTTCACAACTTTTTTAGATCAGCGCAGCACCTGTATAAGGCGCCGTTGTAGTAATTTTGAGGTATTTTCCGTGTCTAAAAAATGACATTTTGATAAAAAAAAAATCGATTGATCAACAACAAAAAATTGTTTTTGGAATTTAGGATATATAACGACTTGCTGTGTAAAGAAGAAATTTGATAATTCATCAGTTTTTAATGAATTACCGTTAGTGTAATGATTACCTTGTATCGGCAAATTTCTCGACAGGTGCATGTGGTAATGATGGTTAATTCATCAACAGCGTTGTTATAAAGTCAACCTCAAAATATGTGGCATTGGAATGTTTCTGTAAACAAAAGGTGAATTGACCGACAAAGCCTACTAGTCGTTGGTAAATTCGATACAGTCTTTAAAACAATTCGGATAAAAATGCATCTTCGTTATGTCACCGGTTGCTCAGTTTAATATCAAAACTCGGACAAGTTTTTTTTATGTAACTCTTCCTTTACTATCTCCGAGAAACCTACAATACAGGACAATACAATAAATACATTCATCCTCTGTTATACATACAATAAATACTACAAAACTTCCGCGCCGACCGAGGTACCGGACCTTTGAATAGAGACTGCTATAAATATATTAATTCAAATAACTAAATGTTACCATCACACGATAGTTATTACGTTAATACTGTTATACATACCGGGTATGATGTTCCTAGTATAAGCCTGTTAATACATGCTGGCGGCAATGTATCTTTACGCCCTCTATATAGTCAATATATCAATGGCTCTATCAGTAAATCTGTAGTACAGTTCCGTCTCTCACGAGTCGGATTGTAAGAATGAGCACTGGGTAGTAAGTATTTACCCAGTAGCCAGAATATAGTGGCAGGAATATAGGGTGCTTTATTCGTGCAAGGGGCAGGTCCAAGGTCTACGTCGTAAGTACAATTCAGTCAGAATGTTGAAACAGAACATAACAACACATGTACATTCATTCCGAACTGATGACGTCACATACACTGTTTACCAGACGGGACAACACACATGAATAAAGACAGTTGACAGCACTCGTTGTATATATATACACACACACCATATATATATATGTATATCATATTATATAAACCCGGGTTACAGTTACTTTTCGGATCAATGAATACGTCATAAACAAAGCGATGTCGCTGTGGATGGAAACACATAGACATGCAAATTGCTTATCAAGAGGCTAAGGCAGGTCATATGAGCATAACAAAGGCAAGCAGGCTTCACAATGTACCAAGAATGACATTGTCAGATAGGGTTAATGGCAGGGTACCGGTTGATGCAAAAATGGGTGTATCAACGGCTCTCACATTAGCTGAAGAAATGTCGTTGTTAAACTATATAACTTATATGGAAAATAAAGGGTTCTCGCTTTTCTGT